CTGTGCGTCAAGGGACTCGGCGTGTGACGTAGCCTCAGCAGCACAGCCCGGGCGCAGCTCGCACTGCCCCGCGCATTGCCCCTTGTAATCTGCCCAACCGCCCGGGATGCGTCGCCCGGGGTTGTGTCTTTCATTGAAAGCGACAAGGTCTCAGAAACTTCATCAGTTATTCATCACGATGGGTCCGACACTGGTCTGTCTCCTTCGGCGCAGCGATGTCACATGTCAAGTACGTTTTGCACGGCCATGCCCGTGGTACGCTAGGTCAAGCTAAATGACGAACAGATATGACCTGTGAATGCTCAACATTCACACGCTAATTTGCGTTTGAAGCTGAGCAGGGCATCGCTGTGTGATGCATATCTGTCGAGCTGTCTAGTTGCTGGATATATGTAGGGGACCGGGAATCGATTACGGCAAACATCAAGCCAAAATGCATATTTGAGAAGCAAATTGGAACATTGATGGCTTCGCTCTAAAATACCAAGGTTTTGCCTCTGTGCAACTTCTTCACGTCCAAGCCTCCTTCACCGACTCGCGAAATCTCGCCACAAGGTTATGCAGGGCTCTAAAACGTACGAAAGCCTAGTTGATGGGAACGCCATCCCTGTCGCGCTCAACTCGTTGCTTCTTGGGTTTGCTCGGGTCCAAACGAAACACCTTTTCGGTGATGGTGGTCTTGATTGTGTCGGTGACGCTTTCGGCGAGAGACGGCCCCCTGATTTGCCGTTGGCGTTCCTTCTCTGCTTCTTTCTCGGCCTTCTTGGCAGCTTTGATGTCGGCCGGCCCGGGCTCGAACGCAGGACGAGGGCCACGGTGGGGAGGCCAGCCGCCGGATGCTTCGCTTCCTGCGGTGAACGGAATTCCGTCGGACATTGCTTTGCGTTTGCTTATCGTTTGCTTATTGAGTGTAACTCTGTCTCTCGCCGTGCTTCTGCTAGTGGACTATTTGGTTTATTGCGAGGTGAGGGAGATCTGTCGGAATTGGGTGGTTCAAAGATTGTGAGGCCAAATACCTGAAAAGGAAATTGCAGGTCTTAAATAGTTACTGGCAATATGTCTCAGTGGCATCTCTATGCAGAATGATCGACGGCTGCCTCTGCGCCACAGGCGTACCGCCATGCTGACGCCAAGATACCTGCAGAAATCTTGCTGATGTCAACATCGGATTTCCGTCCATTCTATATTCCCACCTCGCTGTAACTTGAATATGAACGAGGAATGCTTCAAACATGTTACTAGTCTTGCGAGGTAATCTTATTAAATTTGAAAGCCAAATCTCTACGCCTTCAGCTGAGCGCCTGTTAATCTATGCTCATGTTGAATGAGGCCTTGAAATCCTCGCCAGACCCTCTTGTGCTTGGACTGCCAATAGTCTTTCTAAACTTTGCCTAAACGTCAGCGCAACCCTATTTAGCGGCTAAGTGTTGGAATTGTAGTTCATAGGATGACAGTGAGCCCACAACTATTAAAGATACACGTCGTTCTGCTTGTAATCAAGAGCACGTTGATTCTTTTTACGCCATTAAGATGTAGTAGGCACTACGGCTCACGTCATCATCTTCTCATCATTGTCCCCGGTTCGTGAAAGCACCCATATGTTATCTCTCTACCCATCTTGCAACATGCCAGGGACATGCTATACATGCAATTCTTGAGCTGGAAGAGGGCAAAAAGCTCGCAATCCCAACACTATGTAACCTGACCCAGTATGTAGTGACCCTACTCTGCTGTTCCATGCAATCTGACGAGGCTTCGAAAACACCTTTTGTTTAGCATCAGGAAACTACCCACGTCAAGGATTCTACTGCCCCTTCCTGGGTGTCAAGCGCACGTTCAGAGGTCCCTTCTTCCAGAGACCAAACAACTCTTGCTCAGTCCAGTTTCTGCTGTCATCCGCAATCTGCATATCGAAATTCCAGATGACTCTAGCAAGGATGACTCTCATTTCAGACATGGCCAGGCTATTTCGTCAAAGGTCAGCGGAGATCAGAAACTGAGTGGGAGGGAATGCTATGTGTATACTTACTTGCGACCTATGCAATTGCGAGGCCCCAATGAAAAGGGCTGGAGAGCACTCTTGTTGTCGTCTACGAATCTGGGATCTCCGAGCCATCGCTCGGGGATAAAGGAGTCCGGTTGCGCGAAGTGCTTATCGTTGTGGTACATGGGCCATTGCGATACCATCACTCTGGTCTGTTGAAGGGGTTTAGCTTCAGCTCTCTGTTGCACTTGACGATACTGAGTGTGATCCACTTACACCTTCCGGTACATATCTCTCGCATACGTAATCTCCTCCTGGCTTGATGATACGAGTGAGGCCCATGGGCACAACAGGGTAGACCCGCATGCTTTCGTCAAGAACTGCGAGCATGTACCGGAGTTTCTGGACGCTGAGAACATCAATCTCCTGTTCCGAGTTGAAAGATGTTCGGACTTCTTCGGCCAGTTTTGCCATCGCACCAGGGTGAGTTGTCAGGAAGAAAGTCACACCCGAAAGCACGGATGCTGTGGTCTCTGAGCCGGCGATGATCAGAGTGTCGGCTGTCTCTTCAATCTCCGGCTTGGACATGGCCTAAAAAGAGCACGGGTCAGCGCAAACTTTCTAGGAAGGTTATCATGATAGAGACTTACCAAAGCGCCCTCCTTCATCATCATGGACTGGACGAAGTCTGGTCTTGACTCTCCCAGGGCCATGCGCCTCTTGACCTTGTCTATGCTTAACTGGTTGTGGAGTCTTTGATTCTCCATCAGCTTCTTCGGGATCAGCCACTTCGTGAATGGTCGTGTGATCCAGTAGCGCTGGAACTGGTTTCTGTAGATATTTGCGTGAATGTTGTCAAAAATTGATGAAACCCAGGGGTGATAGTCTGATTTTTCAAGGCAGCCGAAAGGCTCTCCAAAGGCCAAGTCTCCGATTATGTCGAAAGTCGTGTAGTTATACCAGGCAACCATGTTCAAGGCTTTTCTTCCATCCTCACAGTGCTCGTGGAGGCGTTGGATCAACAAGTCGATTTGGCTCTGGATCAGGGGCTGCTGCTCAACCATGCTTTGGGCAGAAAAGCCGTGCGCAAGAACCCGGCGGATGCGGGCATGATCCTCCCGGCCGGAGTTGATGATGCTGTGCGGCTTGTACCTGGCGTTGATGGGGTCCTTGTAGTTCTCCATCCCGCCGCTGCCCTTGCTGTGGCCCATCAGGTCCTTGAAAGCGCGTGGGTCGGCCCAGTCGATGGTGTCTGGGCCGAGCCGAACGACAGGTCCATATTGCCTATGTAGTTCTGCGAGTTTCTTGTGCGCCTTGCCGCCGGTGATCATCCTCGTAAAGGGGAGACGTGTCGCGGCGTAGAGCTTCGGGCCCGGGTAGTGACGGAGAGGATGGAAGTAAACATTGTACACTACCCTTGAGATGAGTCGGGTGAATACCTGTTGGGTTTGTCAGTTTTGGTTTTTTTATACTTCTTTTTTCATGACGTCTCATTTCTATAAGCTTACCAAGGCTAGCAAGAAGGCAAGCAAAATCACCCCCAGCTGCACATTGCTGAATATTGAAATATCATGTGGGATGATCATGATGAATGCGATGGTGTTATTCCTAACACCGGTTGCTCGTACGCTTTGGACGAAGGGTGAACGTTTTCATCCTCAATTCCGTATTTCGGCAGGGGAGCTTCAACGTCTTATAGTTCAGTAATGCAAATGCACAACTTGTTTCCGGGAGCATGCCCGCCGAGAATTCGAACGATACGTTCCTACCGGAGCCGAACCCGCCCCGGGGATAAACAGTGTTACACCAGCCAATCGAAGATGCGGAAGCGCCCGTCCGATCACATCTAGTGGCGTCATACCGCGCGACCCTGTGGCGGGGGAGGTGTGTTAGTTGGGGCTTGAGCGTTGCGCGGCATTTCGGACGGTGGGACGCGGTGTTTCATACCACCACATCTGACGGTATTGGACACGGACAGAACGGATTTCGGGCTGCTGAAGAGGTCCGGATGATGGCAATTGGATGATTGCCTCCCTCACCGAGGTTGATTGATGCTAGGCCAGTGACCACGCTGAAGCAACAATTGCGAAAGCTGGAATACGACAGGCTCCGGTTGGTTGTAGGTTCGCATTGCTTATGCTTGTTCAGTCTATCAGCTGGCAGGTCCTTGCGCGGAGCCCCGCCAGTGCCGCTTGTGGATCTGCGTCGGAGTCGGGCGTTGCGGAGTTACGGATGGTTACGGATGTGATGACGGCGGCGAGGTGGGGTGCGTGTGCAATGCACGGCACGGAGTTGGGGTGCTTGTTCCGGCGGTACTGGCCGGGGTTGCAGATGGCCATTTCACCGATGCTGAATAACTTTCGGGCTGATGCATAGCTTTGGTGGCGGCATCATTGCTAGTACATAAACCAAGAGATCACAGATACGTTGAGGTTAGCGATAATTGGCAGTGTACAAAGGCGGAGATCCCTATCACACCCCTTGCGCTCCAGAAAGAGGGATGAAACCTCTGCAAAGGATTGAACCAGCAAGTACTTCAAGTAAATTTGACGGCCCTCAGGAGCTTGACGCTAGAGGCGGCATCTTTATCAGCACTCTGTGTTTGGATGTAGAAGCAGCTGGCTTATATTGACCCTGAAAACAGGGAGGGATGCCACCGTGGCTAGCCTCAGCTGCTGGAGTGAACCGCGCTTGTCGAACATCCAAGTTTCACAATGGCTTTTGCCTTAATCACAATCCTCTGGCATCGAGCTTCCAATTCCTAAATGACTTTATTTAAGTGTTGAAACTTTGATAGAGGCAGCTTCGAAAAGCTCAGTAGAGCCTCAGTGACAGTTCGTATCTAGCTATATCTTCTAGAGTGAAAAGGGGGGACTGTTGTGATGATGCCATGTTCGAAAACAAAAACCATTCCGGACTACCACGCTTCACGAGGATGAGAGTGGGAGTCGCCCTCGGGCCCACCTTATCCACAACATAATCTGTTTCGCCGCGGAGAGCACTCAACACACCATTCGCCCGAATGGCTCAGTGGTAAAGCGTCTCACTAGTACACCTGTTCAAACGACCTTGGTCGGCAAGGACAGATGACAAAATGAGAAGATCGCTATTTCGATTCTGGCTTTGGGCATACCAAGATATGGTTCACATTTGACCTATTCTTATTTTTGAGGATGCTGGTGCGTTTTTCCTCCACGGCATTTCAAGCTCGCCAGTCCAGCCATGTCGTGGCGCTGCCCCCGTTTTGTGGCTTGACAGGCCCCCTAGCGTCATTATGTAAGCATCAAACACGTCTCTCAACCGTGCTTGCAAATGGTTTGTTTGATTGGTTCACTAGGCAGGCAGTCGCGCTTTTCTTTCACATGGACCAGAGCCGGAGAGAAAATAGCAGCCGAAGTGAGGGGATGCAAAGCTCACATTTCATTCCATTTGTCGGAAAACTTGCTTGGAGGGCCCGTCGCTTTGAATCATTGATCGAACCTGCCAATCGCGAGGGGGTTCTTTTCTCTTGCTCCTTACCGGTTACATAATCTGCCAACGTCCCAGCGCACTGTCCAGGCCTGCAAACGGGGCCTCATTCTTCCCTCCATCACCACCTCACCACCTCACCTCAAATGCCATCACCGCAGCAGTTCAATTTTTCATCCGCATATTTTCGCTCGGTTTTTCCACCCTCGTATTCACCTTACACGGTCCCTTGCATAAGGCCAACGCCCACACGAACCTACCAGCTGGCGGACGGGAGCCATGACAAACCTACGCGACCTCCCGCCTGAGCTCAAAATTGCTGTGGCCAGAGTTCTAATAGAAGGCGACACACATGGCCACAAACAAGCCGATATCAAGATCGCCGCCCTTGCGGCACTTTCCGCAACAGACCGATTCTTCCACCATGTTGCTGACCCGTTGTTGTATCAGTTTGGGGTCCTCCGTCACCCATACCTCCTCTGCTGGGCAACTGAAATAGGGAACCTGAACCTCATGAAGAAGATACTCAAAGCGGGACCCGTTGACCCCCAGGTCGGCATTATTCGCTACAACCCAGACCATGAATATGCTCCATGGGATCCCAAGACCATGTCGGCAGGTGAACGTTTCAGATGCTTCTACCGACGCGACGGCCGACAGTTTCAACAACGTGAAGATTTTTTATCGCAGTTTATTGAGCATGATCCCATCGGGGAGTATGGCCCATTTTCGGATGACAGTTCCTTTACAGAAGAGGACGTCTCGGAGCACGGCGGATTCTTCCTGGACGAGTATGACGACTCTGACGACATGGACGATTCATCCTCGGAGCAATTCTCCGAAGACGCCTCCGTGGCAGACCATTATTCTGCAGATGAAGCTTCCGATGGCATAGAGTCTGATGATGATGCGAGTCTTAATCACGCTGGCGGAAACGGTAGCAGCGGCGCGGACGATTCCGATTCCGAAGACTCGGCCAACGGGGATGGCGCCGGCTTAGACGACGAGGCCATGTTCGAAGAGTTTGAAGAAGTGGAGAGAGAGATGGTTGGGATCATCCGTTATCCCGATGAAGACGATTACGACGAAGTGGATGAACACGACATCAAAGGCTTGTATTGGTTTCCAGTTCATATCGCCGCCAGGTATGGCAATTTGCCTGCCCTTGAACTGCTTGTCGACTCCGGCGCATTACTCAATATATCGTCCAAAGGGTTTTGCTGCCAAAACCACCGCATGGCACTCTACTGGGAGGCTTGGAACGAAACGCACCCGGCCTGGACGCCTTTCCACGTCGCTCTATGCCACGGACATATAGAGTTGGTCAAGTACATGCTCAAAAAGTGTCCGCACATACAGGAACGCTTAATTAGCTATGACGAACCGTCGTGGTCAGTGCTTCCTGTTTTCATATCTGCCATGCGGCACGGCTATCCCGGACTGGCCGAATTCTCCTTGGAGCAGGGTGTTGACGATGCCACTGATGGCGACCCTGACCTTTCTGGCGCAACTCTACTCTGGAGGGCGTTCTGGGAAACGGACAGATTCCGAGAGGCTCTTGCAATTCTGCTACGCTGCGGGGCTGACATTGATCACGACCTGGGTCAAGGGCATACCTTACTTATAGAGGCCTGCCTGTACGGCAACTTTGAGGAGGCGATTGCCTTGGTTAATGCCGGGGCAAATGTTACAGTCGTTCTGAATAACCCTGGCCCAGCCACCACACTAGACTACGCTTGGGATAATATAGGCCAGTCATTCCCGGCTCCTATAGAAGGATGCGGAGTTCTCGACATATGCTGTGGCCTGCCACCCATCTTGACTCCAGGGGCCACGACTCCAAGTCCTCGGAGACCTACATCATTGGGGTCTGCTCCCGATCTGATCCGTCACCTTCTCGGCTCCGACGCACGGCACACTACAAAACGAAGCCCACTTCACATTGCAGCTTCTGCCCATAATCCAGAGGCTCTAGAAGTTCTGCTCAATCTCGGCATGGATCCCACAAGCCTGGATGATGAAAGGTTCAGTGTACTGCTTCGTGCGTCAACGACCGAAGGCAGCTATGCTCCACTCACGGAATTCAGCGAGACAATTTATATTCTTGCGAAGCATCTGGGAGAGAGACGCGACAAAGGAGTCGCGGCAGGTATCGTCACCAATCAGAGGGCCGGCAAGTCAGTGACTGCTGGTGGAGAAATTGCCCTGCGAAGCATCATGGAGGACGAAAACCTAGCGGCCTACCCTCGCACGAGGCTAGCGCGACACAATGCCGCCTTCGAGCTCATCGTAAAGGGACTTGCCGACGTCAACACTCGAGACAAGTTCAATCGCACAACCCTCATGCTTACCGTCGCCGAGGGAGACACCTCTCTCGCTTATAAGCTAATAGAATACGGAGCCACGATTGAACGAAGTTCAGAGATAGACGACCTAGCTGCTATGTGGGCTGGCTTCATCTTGAATGACGACGAGCACGACAAGAAGAAAACCTATTGGTTGCTCAGTAAGCTCGATTCCGAGAAGCGGATTTTGAGGGATCCCCAGTTCCTCGCATTCACCATGTACGAATTGCGGACCGACATAGTCGATCTGATGGTCTCGTTCATTCAGCCCGATACCCTGACGCTGACTGGCGGAGAAGCTTGGAGGAAGCTCGGCGACAAACAAGCCGTCATATCGGCCAGCCAAAAGGGTGTCAGTGTGTCATGGCTGGAGGACGAAACACTTCAGAAACCTCTTCGTGATGGTTGGACGTTGTTACAAATAGCAGTTGAATTTGGCTGTCCTAACGTGGTAAAGAAGCTCCTCAACGGTCTGGGAGCGGACCCCAACCAACCAAACCCAGATGGCCAAAGCCCGTTGCACATTGTGATCAAGAACCAATCTGTGGGCAACGACACGATGGTTCGTCTGTTATGCAAATACGGGGCGGATCCTCATAGGAGCGCCAGTAAGACAACCAAGTCGCCGGTCGATTACGCGATACAGCAATGCTACTGCTGGATGGTACCGAAGCTGCTCCGAGAGTATCCAATCAAGGGAAACCCAAAGGCCCAGGACAATCTGTACCTTCATTCCATCGTCTCGACTCAGATCAAAGGCAACCCTACCGTCGCGCGCGTCGCGCTTCTTCCGCTAATTCGAGCTGGCGCGGACGTCAACGCGACAGACAGCAACGGAGATACCCCTCTTTCTTTTCTCCTCAAAGAGGTTTTGCGGCTTCAACAAGCGAGCGACATCTCCGGTTTTAGTACGTTGGTCACTGTGGTGACTGTGCCGACTTTGATCAGGAGTGGCGCAAGCCCAAGCGTCCGCAACAACGAGGGCAGGACGGTACTTGACTTGATGAATGAGGTCAAGAACCACAAGGCTGGACTATTTGGGCTGAGAAATTTCCTCCGCTCAACTCTGCTTTATGACGTCATGTTGTATCGAAATAGGATTGGTTTGTAGGATGGAATCACGCAAAGGAAAAGCTTTGTTGTTGGGCCGGAAACGAAGTGGTAATACATCTTGACATGGTCAAGGGTTGAACTTCAGTCTTCTATTCTTTATTTTGAGACCATGCTATATTACTTTGAGTCGTGAGCAAGAAGGCTGCGTCGACTGTAACACCGGCCTCGTTGGTGACACTACTTTTTCGCAGGACCAATGAGACCATTCGCATGCGTCGATTACGGGTTAGTGTTGCCAGGCATTGAATCTTGGATAATAATGTTCCATACAACTTCTTCTGCTTAGACAGGAATTCGGTATGTCCCTTACCTGCAAAATGAGGTATTATCCCGTCTGAACTTGGGGCTGGTAATCTCCTTTGAGCTTCTGCCGAGGGTTGGTTCACTAATCACATAACCACACTAGTCACTCCCGGTAACTGGGTAAGCACGACGGATTTCAGAAGCATGGGTTGCATGGGACGGTGTCTATACAACCACCTCTCAAAAAGCAGGAGCACGCTTTAAGAGAAGCCTTATTGATAAACATTTGGTTCAGGAGGCCTGATTGGAAGCCTGGTCTCCGCCGCACTGAGGGTGCTGTCCGAAATGCATCATGTACCCGTATGATGGTTCTCGAGATGCCGGATTACTACTCAAACAAGATCACTAATCATCTTTATAAGCAGACCCTCGGGCCAGCGACAAAGCCATTCAAGGAAACACTATCGGTACCTTAATATTTATGGTTCTTCCTTGCGTGAACAGTTGGCCCTGTCCACATGCCATCCAGACTTCGGAAGGTTACGTTGTTAATCAACGAAAGGTCTTTCAATAAAACCCCGTGCCAACAGCATTCTGCAATGAAAAACACATAACAGCAACCACCCCTGAAAAGAGCCTCATTGCTCCAAATCAAGGACCATTTTTAAACATCGTCGAACAGTCTACAATTCTCAGGTTATTCAGAATCTTGGGGTAACAGTCCCAGTCTTGAATATGGGCGCAATACGCTCAGACCCGTTCTCTCACCAGCAAGGAGCAGATATTACTGGCGAAGATGTTGAGAAACAAGCCGAGAATGACATTACATCATCCGAAGAAGACGGCCAGCAGCTACGAATAGCATGGGACGACCCTCGCGAGAAACGAAATCCCAAGAACTGGAGCACCGCGATGAAAATCTTACACACTGCAATCCCATGTTTCCTCGCCTTTGAAATGT